TGCAGGAACTTGGTGCACTTGGAGGCCTGGACCAGCAACAACTCATGCAATTGTTGCAATTCATGAACCAAGTCAGTTGAGGGGATTGGCTTCTGGGTTTTTTCATCAATTCTGTAATTTTGCAGGGAAGTTCTGACTCGCCTTCTTTGGTGCCGCAGATTCCATCTGGAAACAGTGGTGAACGTGGATCTTCAGGCGCTCCCAAAGGTTTCGCAACAAACTTTTTGCCTGTATAGTTATAACTACAGTCAGCTTTAGTATCCGCTTCGGAACTCACACAGCTGCAAACTCTTCTTGGTGGACTTAGAGCTCCTGGTACCGGAGGCACTGATGCGCAGGGAGCAGAAAGGCCAGTCGCTGTCGAGTTGGGAGACATAGTCGCAGGTGGTCAGGTTGTCGAAACGGCCAAGAATAATGCTGGTAAGTTTCTTCTTTGTCAATAGTCAAGAAAAGCAAATTTCTTGTACTTGCATGCTACCTCTCACTACTTTCGCCAATCCAAGGGTTCCATGTGCTAGTCTCTTAACAATCAGTTTCTTATCCTCTTCAAAAATAGCGCTCTAAGGCGCCGTACCAATTTCTCGTAATTATACGAATTCAGTGAAACCAAGTTACAGATCGTCTTCTCAACCATATGCCACCGGAGGACAAATCTTCTTCGGACACCAAACAAGCATTAGAAGATACAGTTCGTTCTCCTCATTATAGACAGGTGCCTGTAGTGATGTTAGATATTGCTTCGCGGCGTACTTACTATTGTTCCCTTACTGGTGAGAGCTTTTTTTACAGGCTGCAAATACATTTGGTCATGCATTATCAACGGGACAAATGGCACCAGTTTTGGAACGTTTTGGAATTAGTGAGGATGCCGCTCATGCTGCCGCAACAGGAAGTAGGCTCATTTTTTTACTTCAGTTCTTCATAGAATTTGGGGCCAAGTTTGATGGAGATACGACCCTTAAATCTTTCTAGCACGGTGTAATCACAATTTGGGGTGCAGATGCGAATAAGCGAGAAACTTTTGTTGTTTTGTCAATCCAAGTGCACTCAAAGAATGTGACACCATTTCATCTTTGTTTTGCAAGTATGTAGGAGATGAAAACTTTTCATACGATGGGTGAGCAGAAGTCCGCAATTTCCTCCATTATCGGACTTTTGTTAAAGACCTCATCATAGGGTCAATGAGCTAAGTTCCCACCGTTTTTTCATGTTCCCTCAGAACCCTTTACAACATTGAAGAGCACATTGGCAAATGCGCATAAGGTGCAATCGAAAAAAGGAAACAAGTTTTCCATCGAAAAGCGTACCGCTCATTAGAAAGATTTTTGGAAGTTTCCGCAAGTACGAGAATCTTGAATTGATTGACCATCAAAGCAATCCGCACATCTAGTAAAGGGTTAAAAGGGACTATTTGTGTTAGCTAACCTTCCAAACACTCTAATTACACATCAAGAAGCTATTAGTTTGAGTTCTCGGAAAATAAGTCTCGAGACTCGACTGCGGACTCGAGACATGCATGATTACATGAAAGATCGCTTGTTTATTTTGCATTTGGATAGCACTTCACACTATAG